GATGCTAGCCTCTACTCAAGAAGGAGGATCTTTCAGTTCTAGTGTAGTCGGATGTCTGTATGAAAAAAAAAATCAACCTTGATCTCTACCTCACATCATGCAAAGAAAATTAATTTTAAGATGGGTGATAGACCTAAATATGAAAGTTAGAATTATAAAGCTTCTGGAAGAAATAGGAGACTTTATTATCTAGGAGTAAGCAAAGGTTTCTGAGGGTACAAAAAGCACTAACCTTAACTAAAAAATGGACAAATTGGCCTTAATCGAAATTGAAAACTTTCACTCATCACACGTCACCATTAAGCAGGTGTAAAAGCAAGCCACATACTGGGAGAAAATAGTCCCATGACATGTTACAGTACATGTATTTATTTGACAAGACTTACATGTAGAATTCCTATGTTATCAGTAATGAGAAACATAAACATCCCAATGAAAAATGGACAAAAGACTTGAGGCACTTCCTAAAGAAATATATTCAGATGGTTAATAAACGTATGAAAAGGTGTACAACATCATTAATCATTGGGGACATACACAAATGAAAACCACCAGGGCACACCCACCAGGATTAATACAATTAAAAAGGCTTTCAAGAGCAGGTGTTGGTGAAGATGTGGAGCCAGTGACACTCTCACTTGCTGATGAGGGTATAAAATGGTAAACCACTTGGGAAAACTGAAAGTTTCTAATAAAGCGGAACTTGCACGGTAATTTCACACGTGGTATATATGCGTGCGCGCGCATATTTCCACAAAATAGTATGTGCGAGAATGTTTATGGAAGCTTAATTCATAGTAGGTCTAAATAGGGAACAACTCCAAATGCCATCTATGGGTAAATGGATAAGCAAACAGTGATATACGATATACAATAGAATATTGTTCTGCAGTAAAACAGAACAAAGTACAGATACAGTCGAGCCTCATTATTCATGGAGTCTATATTTGAGATTTTTTTCCCATTGACGGAAATGGATTTGTAAGGCCAAAATCAATATGGCATTTTCATGGTCATTCACAGGCATTACACAGAATGGTGAGAAATTTGCGTCACCTGGTATGCGTGTGTCCAGTAGGTTCAAAGGGGCCATGCCCCGTCTTCTTGTTTTCAGCTCTCATGCTATAAACATGTATTTTTGTGCTATATTGAGCTATGCTTTTCACATTTTTGTGCTTTTTGTTGCTAATGTCGCTATTTAAAATGGCCCCCAAGTGTAGTGCTGAAGGGCTGCTGTCTAGTGTCCTTAAGCACAAGGAAGCTGGGATGTGTCTTACAGAGAAAATATAATATGTGGATTGGATAAGCTGCTTTCAGGTGTGAGCCATAGGGCTGTTGGTGGTGAGTTCAGTGTTAATGCATCCACAATGTTTATTAAATAACACAGAAAAAGTGTTTGTTTTGATTTTGATTGTTTCATGTGTATTGGTCAGTTGATACGTGTTTTATATATTTTGATATGTTTGTTTCTATGTATTGATCGGTTGATGCAATTGTTGAGACTATAGGGAGTAGTGGTTCATTATTCACTAATTCAGTGTTTGTAGAGACTTTATAGAATACAACTACTGTGAGTAATGAGAACTGACTGTACATGCAGCCACATGGATGAATTTCAGACACTGTGAGCCAGAGACAAAGTGTGTGTACTGTAGGACTCCATTTATATCATTGCTCAAGAACAGGCAAATCTAATGGAAGTTGGAAAAGCGATAATTGGGGGTTTATTGACTAAAGAATAGCACAAGGGCACTCTTTGGATTGATGGAAATTTTCTTTGTCTTGAACTGAGAGGTGGAAATTAAGATAGCACACGAGAATTGGTTCTATTTTAACGACTGCTCAGCCTTTCCAGTCACCACTTTGGGTGTGCTAGCTGCAATGCTCTTCTACAGCCACATGGTGGCAATGTTGTAGAAATGAACAAAATTCTGGCTGAAACTTAAGTTCCTGTTCTTTGTAGTTCAGATATTTAGTTTCAAGTTGTGTCTTCCATCCTCCTTTAAGTAATCTCAGGCCTCCACCGCCCTCTCTCGTGACACAAGGGGAACAGAACCCTATGGCGAGTGCCCTATGCTGGTCTGAGGCAAATTGCGGCATGCCAAGTATAGCCTTCAGGCCTCTATTCCTTCTGCAGCCCTTCACATCATTTCAGCTCCCTATTCCTTTCTTTGTTCCACTCCTGTCCCACCCCATCCCCACTCCCTGGGCACCTTGTGCTCTTAGGCTGTCAAATTCAACGACCTGAGCCTAATCACCCATTACTGGGAGAAGGTCACCTATAGAGAAATTCAAAGGAGAAAAACATATTGTTCCATGTCATGTAATGGACGTTTCTAGAAGTAAAATCTGGAAATGGAGTAAATGCTTATCACTTGGGGCATAAACAGTGCTGGATCGTGTTAAACACAAGACAACAAGCCCCAAATGGAGTTGCCTATACTTGGCCCCACAGCACCAAGTTCACCTGAGACTTAATTACAGCTTCAGCTCTACCCAGAAACTGCATCTTAAACCAGTCAATCAGGAATGGTGTGGTCATCCCTAGTTAGGTCATCTGTCTAATAGACCCCTTCCATCCCCTAAAGGGGGCTGAAAAAAACCTCGCCATTGGGGAGTGTGAGTACAGACACATTTAATTAGACATTTAGGGCACCGGTTATTATATTAATTAATTAATTATGTCAACTAATATTTTATGAAGGAAAAACATAGTGGTTTAACACAACATACGTTTATTACCTTTCATTTCTGTGGGTCCGGAATCCGGGTGAGGCTTAGCTGAGTCCTCTGGTTCGGGGTCTCTCTCAAGACTGCCGTGATCTCAAGGCTTGACTGAGGAGGATCTGCTTATATATTCACGCATGTGGTTATTAGCAGGAATCAGTTGCTCCTGGGTTGTTAGGCTCAGGGCCTCAGTTCCTTGCTGGCTGGTCACCTTCCTTAGTTCCTTGCTAGGAGGGCCTCTCCAGTGGGTAGCGCGCAGCATGGCAGCCTGCTTCCCTCAGAGCTAGCAAGCAAGAGAAGAAGACAGAATGAGCAAGCGAGAAGGCAGAATCTTTTTTGACAGCCTGTCACTTTTGCCACATTCTGTTTGTCAGAAGGAACCTTCTAGGTCCAGCTCACATTCGCGGGGAGTGTTACACAGGCTATGGATCATTGGAGCCATCTTAGAAGATGCCTACCACCTGAGGCACAACCAGAGCGGGGGTGTGTGTGGGGGTCTGAATGTCCAAAGCAGAAATGTTTGCCAGATAAATGTTTGCATTCCAATATTAAGGAGGGTGTAGATGTTTCTTACCTTGCTTGTGTTGAGTGTCATGCTACAAAAAATAGGTAAGGTCTTTAAAAATGGAAAAGGTGACCTATGGAAAGGATGTGGTGAAGGAGGTAGCAGATTGGAAAATAAAAGCCAAAGACCAAGCGAGAAAATGAGAAAACTATTATACAAGGAAGGTACATGACCATACATTAGAATTTCCACATATGTATTAAACTGTTCTCCAAAGACCTAGGAGATAGGACCAGACAAATGGAATAGTTTCCATGATAAACTATTGCTTAAGAATAACAGAGCTGTAAGACATTTGACTGACTCAATCCACCAAAAAATACTTGCCCAAGGGGACAAAGTGATACCTACTACCTGAATGTGCCATTGTAAGGAAGTTCTAGAGACAACTGGCAAAGACTGCTTTATATTTACAATGAGCTAACTGTATATTCAAGGGCTTTGTTTTGATAAAAGGAGGAGTCTAAAAGGAGGAAGAAAAATCACCACGTTGGGGGTAATACTTTAGAATGGGCTCTTTGCTAATCTAGGCAGGACTGGTGGTCTGGCCCCTCCCTGCCTGTCTGTCAGGCTGCCTCTCCCATCACTCACTTCCTGGCACATCACGCTGCAGCCACACTGGCCTCCCTGCCAGTCCTCAAAACACAGCTCCCGGCCAAACCTCATTTCATTCAGGTTTGTGCTCAACCGTCACCTTCTCAGAAAGGGGAGGTGCTATCCCCTTTATTTTTTAGCTGAGCCATCCTGCAACCTGTTGGCAGCTCAGCTCCGGCTGGGAATTGAACTGGCAACCCTGTTGCTCAAAGCTGGCACTCTTGAGTGAGCTCTTAACCAACTGAGCCATTGGCAACCCCAGTGATACCCCCTTTAGATGCTATCTAAAATAGCATTGATTTGCCCCATCCTCTTACATTGCTTTTATGTAGCATAACAGTTACCACTTTCCGACGTTTATTTCTTTATCTGTTTATTGCCTGACACTTCTCCGTGGAGATAAAAGTTCTAAGGAATTCAAGGTCTTTAGCTCACTGCTGTAGGGCCTGGAAACGCAAGCCATTGTCTCTTATCAATAGTGTCTGTTGAGTGAATGAAAGAAAAAATATAAGTGAAGCAAATAAAAAACATGTCAGCAGAAGAGAATAATAACAGGGGCAAAAAATGTGAAGAACAAGCAATGACAATTTGCTAGAACTGCGCTAATATGAATTCATGCACAATATTTGTAGTTGTGTATAATATGTAATTCATTTAAAAAAAATCCCGACTCAAATGAGCCAATTTACTTGAAAATATTCAGTACAGTATATAAATCGGCCCGCACTGCAAGTCCCTTTTCCTCTAGATGCGAGCGTTAATTTCTGCGGAGTCTCCGTTAAGAGACTGTGCTTGCCTCTTTTTTATAAAAATGTATTCTTGTCGCTATTTTATTGGATGGTCCTCTGAGGCGCCCCTTTTTCATTGGTCAGAATCCCAGTCCATCACTCCCGGGCCCAAGCACTCCATTGGTCCTTTGCCGCAGACAGCAACTGCTGCCTGAGCTCAGGCAGGAGGAGATGCCCTGTGAAGTCTAAGGCACCTCCCGCCCACATTCCAAAGCCTGGGCCCAGACTTCCTGCTGCCCCTGTCTTTGGGGGCGGGACAGGTTAGAGAGAACGACTTCTGATTGGGTAGGACAGACAAGGCGTGTATATGATTGGTCCCTGCCCTGGAGGGAGGTGGAGTCATAGCTCAGTCCTGGAGTCGAGCAGAGGAGCTTTGGGAGTCTGAAAGTTTGTGTCTGGAGCAGCAGTGGAGAGTGGGCTTAGGAGGAATTTTCTTGGGATGAGAGCTGATCGCTTGCCTTTGGATGCACTTTGGATGCACACCTTGCTTTAATCTCATCAGCCTTCCGCTTGATCCCTGGACAGCCTGTCTCCCCCCGGGATTTTCACATCTCCGAGGACACCGGACCGGAGCCCTCTGCAGTTCTCTCTCGGCCAGGGGAGCAAACGTGTCCCCTCCTAAGTGCATAAACTACACGCGCGCACACACACACACTCGCACACGCGCGGAGCCGGATCTTGTCCTCCGAGGCGGCTCTGCCTGCTCCCCTCCTGCCCTCAGCATCCTCGGCCCAGCGCGCCTCGGACCACCATGGAGGTGCTGGAGAGCGGGGAGCAGAGCGTCCTGCAGTGGGACCGCAAGCTGAGCGAGCTGTCAGAGCCCGGGGAAACCGAGGCTCTCATGTATCACACGGTGAGGACTTGGCGGGGGCCGGGAAGGAGCGGCTTGAAAGGGGGAGGTGTTGTCATCAGAGGAACGGCTGGGAACGACGGGGACCTGGGATGGAAGTTTTGGGGAAGAGGCAAGCCCAGAATGAAGTGCTCTGGGGGAGAGGCGTGGTTTTTATATCTGAATAGATAAAGGTGGGCAGCTGGCCCTTGTACACTTTTTAATAATAGTAATCAGTGTTCCTTTAGCAATTTATACTTTTTTTTCTTCTCCCGAGGCATGTTCACATCTGTAATATCATTTGCTATTGCTATCAGTCCTGTAAAGCGGGAGAAGGAGAAGGTGTTTTGAGAATAACATGCCTCTGTTTAGTTTGCCACTGAGTTTTGTGGGAAGGTTTTAAACAAAATAAAGCAGCATTTTATTCCCTTTGCTGTCATATTCTCTCTTCCTTCCTGACTTGTTTATTTCAAGAAGTACGTGTGTGTGTTTTGGGAAGGCCCCTTTGCCTTAGGAGGAAGAATGCTTTATTTGGCTCCTTTAACTGGACAGCCAAGAAATCGGCTCCCTCCCTCTTCAGGGAAAGAGCAGCAGAGGACTATGGAAAATCTGAGGCAGTTGCATATTTCAAAAAGGCTTTAGAGAAAGGGACAGCTCACCAGTTCCTTGTTCAGTCTTATGCCTGAGAGACCCCTTTGAGGATTCATCTGTCCCAGAGCAAACACATTTCTTTGAAAAAATTTCAAATTTCAATGTTTTGATATTAAATTTGTGAAATGAAATTTTGTTTCCAGCAGCCAGCACTGATAAATGACTTTTATGTGAGATCTCTTTGTTTCTTTTTTTTATAAATGCAGAAGTTTGTGTGTGTGTGTGTGTGTGTG